GGTCTTTTGTTTTCATTGTGGAAGAACATGGATTTTGGGGTATTTTAAAGAGTGAATTTGGGATTTTCTATCAGAGATTTTGCAGTTTTTAAATAGGGAACACCAGAATTCCTGCTAATGAGGGAAGTGGCAGGACCCAGGCAGAGACGTGTGCTCAGGGCTGGCACCTGGGACACAGCTGGAGGTCGCTGACCTCCTTGCCACTTGGGGCCAGGAGAACATGCTTTGACAGGTCAAAGCAGGCCACCACACTGCAAACATCTTCCAGGCAATAGCTGCCAAGATGGCAGGGCAGCAGCAGACATGGCAGTAGTGCCACACAGAGGCCAACTATACAGCCACAGCCCACTGGCAGCTGGCAGTCCTCATTCAGCCATGCAGTCCCCATCCAGGTCTGGCAGGTGCGCACCCTTGGGGCCACATGCTGTTGCAGGTGGCAGCAGGTCACAGCCACGCAACAGCCCCCACTGTCAGACTGCTGCAATGGGTAGAAGGTGCAGGAAAGTCTTCTGAGAGCAATTAGCCCTGAGCTACTTGCCAGGGCAGCTTTTTATACTGCTGGGGACAGCACAGGTGTTGGCCCCAGGTTCTAGCTCCCCCTGGCTGCAGATTTGGGAAGAGCTGCATAGGGTTATTTTGACCCAAGTGACACAACTTGCCCCACACTAAAGTACTTGTCTGGGCATGTGCACTGAGGCAAAAATCCCTGGTCCAAATTTGTGTCATTCCTATTCAAGCTGCTGCAAGCACACATGCCTGCATGTGTGGACGCACCCACAGAGTCTTTTAGATGCAGTATGCACTGTATATGGTCCACTACATCACAGAGCCTTCCCTTGCAACCCATTAATTCCCTATCAGCCCTACTCAAAAACCCCACAAAGAGTTAAGTTCTGTATAGTGCCCTTCAGAAAGCACAGCACAACAAGATCAGTACCAGAACAGGGAGCATAAAAGTAGTCTTTAAAATAGAAAAATCTGACCTTTTGCCCTCAAATCTTTGAACTCAATTTTCATTTGCGGTAAGGCCTTTAGCACTAGCAGGGGATAGTGGTGGGAAATTAAAAATGCATTATATTACATCAATCTGCATTAAAGCTATTTAATATTGACAGAGCAGCGTATGTGGGTGTCCATGTAAATGAAAATCAGGTCTTTTATTCTCTCTTCTCAGGTGTCTTTCTCTTCCTGCATCAGCAGATGTTTCCTGTTTCTGCCATACATACATATATCATATTGCTCTTTCTTTAGCAGTAATGTAACTATGGAAGGGTGATCAGGACAGCAGCCCAAGCTGCAGACTTGGTGAGGAAGGGTGGGCAGAAAACTAATGGCACCCAGCTACCCTTTAGTATTTTATTGTAATCTCCTGTGTTTATCCTTAGTCCATGCCAGGTTCTGTCATTCCTTGTGATTCATTTGCTTCATTTCCAGGCTTCCTGCAATCCTTCTCACATGATCTTCCTAATGCCAAAGACCTCTTCGTTATGTTGCCAATACTTGCCTAGGTGTAGCACAACAAAAGGTTTGACTATTCCCTGATTCCTGCCACTTCCAAACCATGTATGTCTGCAGGTAAGCTCCAAACCTGACCAGTCTCTTATGGGCAGACATGAGTGGGGTATGCATGGGCTTGTCCTGACTAGGATATTCTGCTTCTGTATAGGCAAATGCAAGAGAAATTAGTGTTGAATGACTGACAAATTCATGAAAGTGATAAAGTTGAAACATATTAATTGTGTAGGAAACATTAAGAAGAGCAAGACTGATACAACAAAAAACACCAGTATCTAGATTCACATGAACACTTTGGCTTCTTTTGACAGTTTTCCGATGAAACAGGTAAACAACCATAACTTATAACAACGTGATTCCACTTGATGGAAACATTTGGTGCTGGCCATTGTTAGAGATAGGATTCTAAGTTAGAGGGTTCCTGATCTGATCTAGTATGGCAATCCTAACTGCTCCTACAGCAGAGACAGCAATTAGTAAAGGTAAGTATCCACCATAAAAAAATTGATGGTCAAAGCCATGAAGCGAGGGATATCCTCGATGTGGAAACAAGGTCATAACAGGCTGCTCTAGCTGACAGCTGCCATTGTAAGCTACATCTCTACAAGACATAACTGGTAACTACACATGCTCTGGCAACATAGCCTGCACCTCTTATCTCCTCCCACTCTTCCTACCTCAAATCACATAAACTAGTTTGAATTAAGGAGTTTCTAATTCCCTTCTGACCCCCTCTATACATTTCAGGTATTGTGCAATGAACAGGTTAATTGCACAATTACCTGGAGACCAGCTACACATGCAAAGTAACTACCACACAATAAAATACTCCACCTAGCTATGCAGTTAGACCTTTAAAATGTGTACTAACTTTACTGCTGGTTGCTAATGAGCTTTAATTTGCACATGTAGCAGGGTCTTCCTGCACTTGCGGTAAGGTATGATGGGATCTAATGTGCAATTGTATGAATTGTGCATTACATCCCATCATACCTTTAGACCTGTACATGTCAAGGGGGTCTCTGATTCACACTAGTGGAAGTGAACAGGGGTATAGGGGGCCTCTGATTCACACCTTTTCATCTTATTATACCAATGTACTAGGTATAAAAAGTAAGAGGCAGTCCATGACCTGGACTGTCTAAATAGAATATCTAAATATTCAACTCTGGCAAAAATAGATGGAAGAGGAAACCAAGAGCATAACAATTTACCTTAGGTTACAAATCATGTCAGTAGCAGATCCAGAAACTGCAGCCTAGAACCCTATATGACCTTGTAGCCCACTGACTTGCTTTTAGGATTTTATCCTAGCTTTTCTTGTAATAGAATAATCTGAAAGTTTTATATATGGGTTTTTTAGTTCATTGGAATATATTCCAAGACAAAAAAATTGATAAAAGTAGCATAAAAATGCTTACCATCCATTAGACCCCCACCCAGCGCATAAGACATTCAAATAAGTTCAATCAAGCCAATTTGCATACAGTGCACACAATAAGGGCACACAATTTGCACATTTTATTGTAAAGTAAAAGCACTTCTCATGTCAGCATTCAAAGCCTTTTAAAGCAAAGTTCCATGCACAGTGAGTATTTCACAGGAAAGACTGTAGGATAGATAGTATTCATAAAATACATTTTACCTAAATTGGTACTGTCTTTAGTAATAAACATGTCTGGAATAGATGTTGACAAGTGGAAATTATATTAAAAACCATGCATGAATTCAACATATTCAGGGCCATGTTACTGTCATTTCTATTTCTTATTATATCTTAGCCACCTAAATAAAGCACATTTGCCCTAAATTGAAATTTAAAATATTGAGCCCAACTCAACCCATTTTACTCATCTGCTTCTCCCAGTGACTTAAATGAGAATCTTATCTTAGAAGGGGCAGTAGGATCAGGCTGTTATTCATATAGGTATACAGCCAGCAAATGTCAAAGTCTTCGCCTCAATTTGAACATGTTTTCATACCAAAAATCCCCTAATTTTGTTTGTCAGGAGCTGGTAGAGCTACTATTTCTAAGCTTCAACCCTATTTACCTTTTAAAGAAATAATATTGAAGCACAGAAGCACATTAAGGGACAGATACTCAGATGGTGTACGCTGTCATAGTTCTATTGATGGCAAGATAATTATGACAATTTAAACCAATCAAAGACTTACCCTTACAGCTAATAGCATGAGTGCATGTGCATGGATGTATACTTGCACACACACATGCACATACATGTGTGAGCATGTGCATACAGACACAAGTCACACCTGAACTAAACACATTTTCCTCAAGTACATCATTGTTCTGGAATGCAAAGTTTGAAAAGCTTGCCATATAGAGAACAATTTTTCCTCATGATATTTGCGCTTATCATTCTGCAAATATACATAAATATAGAATCTGTGTTTGTGTGTTACACTAAGTTATTAATGTTGAATCTGTCTTAAATTCCGGGTGAGTCTACAGGATATAATGGATATGTCTACATATGCGCATTAACCCAATTTAAGGGGCATTAAGGGCACGTGTCTACACGTGCACACCCTTAATCTACCTTAAAAATGGTGAATTTAGGCTAATCCCACCTAAATTCAATACCTGCGTAAAGCAAGTATCAAATTTAGGCACAATTACAGTCCCGATTTCTTCTTCCACATAATCCTGTCCCCAACCAGTTTGTTCAGAGAGTTCTTGTTCCTGTCCCCTCCTGGAACCTCAGCCTAACTTCCTTCTCTCTCAACCTAACTTCCACCTGCTTTTCCCAATACTTACAATACTTGTCCCCACAGGGCCCCTTTGCTAATCATTGGGTACATCTACGCAAGCCATTAATGCACAGCAACAAACTGAAGACCTTATTGCTCCACAGCTTATTGCTCCTGAGAAGCTCCTGGGCACACTGTTTACACTTGCACCCAGACAGCAGTACATTGAGCCAGGTCACATCAACCCCAGGTAGCAGGGAGCCTCGGGGGGCAGCCTGCCAGCCCGGGGCTACTCTGACAGGGCTCAATGTGCTGTGGAGGGGCTGGCTGGGGCACAAGGATGTTTCCCTGGCAGGCACCCTCCTCACTGAAACACCATCATGCCTCAGCCACCTGGGTCAGTATCTACACATGCACTAAGCACAAAAAACTCTGTAGCAGGGTTGCAGAGTTTATAAATTTCTTGTGCCCAGATAATTCTGTTTCTCCCTCTGTATCTTCTTTCCTCATTACATTAGTGTTCTCTCCTTCCTCAGTTCCTTGTCACAGCCCTGCTAATTTTCCATGCCTCTTGCTCAATTTCTGCTATGGCTTCTCACATCTTGTTCCCAGACCCAATCTCTCCCTGCCCCAACTTCCAGCCCCAGATTCCCTCTCTTTCCACCACTCTCCAGACCCAGTTTTCATTCTCCCTCTTCAGGATCCTTGTCCTCAGTTCCTATGAGACACTGCTCCACCACATATGTATTGCACAAAACAAATTAAGCACTATGGGCATTTTTACACATGCTCTGAGGCAGGGAGGCAGGGGGGGACTTTAGTTAGAGCAGCTCTGAGCTGCTCTAACTAAAGCACCTGGAGAATCTCATGTATCATCATACCCATGCTTCAAAATGGTGGCAGGGACACTTTATCTAAAGCTCATCAAACAAGCTTTATTAAAGCACCCCCACTGCCATTTTGAAGTGTGGGGATACTGATGCATGAGATGCAGAGGCTGACTGGAGTGTGTTAATTGGCATGCTCCAGCAGACTCAATCAATCACCCCATTACTTTAGGTGAAAAGGAAAATAGGAATTTACAAAATAACTCCAGATTCAAGCCATTAAGATGAACCACAGAAGAACAATTCATAGAAAAATTCAGGGGGATTGACACAAAATCATCTGACATTTGAATAGGAATTAATTTAATCCTATGTATTTTCTGGGAAAATTTCGAGGCGAAGTTCATTTAGGAATGAATTTTTAAGGGAAATTTTTAGCTTACTTTTTATGGAGGTCAGTGGCACTGGAATTTTGGAATGGATATAACTTTAATTATAGTGGCAGAAGAGGGCAGTGCCATAACAAATGAACAAATGGGAATGATGCCAAGGATGAAGGCCAAATGGTTTGCCTCCCTCAGGAATCTTAAAGTAGAACAGTGTTTGCTGTGAAAATAGGATACATGACAGTAATTAGGGCTGTTGATAGGATGCTTTTTGGAGCTTTTTCCTTCCAAAACATTTTGCAATTTTAGTCAAGGCTATGCTGGAGAATTCTAAATACTGTAGACTGTCAGTCTGTTTATAAATTCCTCCAGGCTTTTTTTGACAGCCCATTCAGTAGTGCTGACCAACACAAATTATGTACATTTTTATGCCATTCAACTACTTGGCAATGTTTTATCAAGAAGGTTCATCTGATGAAACTGAAGTATTAACAACTAGCCAGTTTGGTTTATCTGTGTCATTATAAAGAGAAGAGCTTCAAAGAACCTTATGTGGCAGTAGAACAGGAAAATGAAAGCCTGGAAGCATTCATGTCTATTCTTGGCTCTGCCACTGCCTTATGTAATTTCAGGCAACTCATTCAACTTCTTTGTGCCACAACTTTCCTCATCTGCAAAACAAATCTAATACTGCATATCATGGGAAAGATATGCATGATAACAAGACAGCCTCCTGCTCCCTGAAAATTCAGCAACACCTCCTTTTCCATCCAAATGGAGAGGAAACAGGATGATTCTTTAGGAAGTTGGGCTGGATCATGGCCCTTGCTAAAACAGTTGCCAAAATGTGAAGTTGCCATAATGTAAAGTTGCCATAATGTCAGCTTAACTGGCTACTGGAAGATTTAGCTTAACTGGCTACTGGAAGGTTTAGCCATTGTGAAGGTCTTTATGATGTAGGATGGACTACCAAAGTGATCTCATCCTTTGGAAATTGGTACAGGTAGCATGCCCAGGGAGAAAGGATATGAGTGGAATATCTCTATGCCCAAAAGTGCCCTTTTAGGTCCATGCATTGCTGCAATGGGGAATTAGTCCAGCTCCTGAGCAGGCCTATAATCAAAGGCAATGGAAGTTAAGAAAGTACCCTTGCTTCATGGATTTGAGCTGTGTTGGGTACTACTCAGATGCTGATCTATACAGGGACAGTTATATAACATACAATTTTGCTAAGAAGGTTCTTTCATTGTAGATACCATTGGTAGAACATTTAACTATGGAAGCCAAGGGAGAATGTAATTTAATTTAATAGAAACCACCCTTGCTTAAAAAAGTTGTAGGGGAAGACAATTCTATTTAATAGAGGTGATAGCTTACAAATATCCATCATATTCCACAAATAAAAATAAAAAATACAGTGAAAAAGACGTTGAAAAAGACAGCGTATTCAACACAAATACACCTGCTTTCTATGTAGTACCCCATGCTATGGTATGACAGAAAAGAAACTAAAATCCTACTGTTAGGACCCACTTGCTTTTCTCCCTCTTCCTCTCCGTTGGATATGCACAGCCATCTTCAATAGCTCTGGTAGTAGTTACCGGCATGCCCCACTCCCCACTTCACCATGTAATGATCCTCAGCCCAGTTGTCAAACACAATTATTTCTCTGGGTAACAATATGAAAGGCAGCTGCAGCAAGCGTGGAGGTCAGGCAAAGCAGGCCACGGACGCTATGGCACCTGCCTCTTGCACGCAAAGACAGAACAAATTACAACATTTGTCGCCAAGGAACTAAGCTGCAGCACCATGTGGGATGGTCTCACAAGCACCATTTTCATCATGTGCACGGGTATATCTTTTCAAATCTAGAGCAGGGAACAGATGTTTCATCAAAAGACACATTTAAAATAAAGATAATTATGCAGTAAGAAGCTTAATTACATAGGATTATTCAGGTCCACTTAATTGCCTGACAGTCTGAGAGCCTCCCACATATTTGTGACAGAGGCACCCATCTCTTATTGGGTTACCAAACTCCTTGATTGTTTCAGGACAAATGTAGTTACTTAGTAATTCAGTTAATATCAATTCCTGATATCCGGCTGGAAGGAGGAAATGTAAGTAATCTTAGCGAGCAATAACATATTGTCTTATTCCTATAGGCATTGTATTCTGTTCCATAAAATATTAATAAGTTGAACTACTAAAACGGAAGCAAAACTGAATGCTATTATTGTAATAAACTTAGCTGAGCATTAATCATACTTGAAACATTTCAGCTATATTAAACAATAGAAAATCCTTTGATTAGGTTGACCAAATACCAAGGAAACCTGGGGATCACCTATTTTAAGGCCTTTATCTTGATCTTGCACTTGGCTTTCCATAAGTTGGTATCTCTTTCATCCCTGTCTCCATATACTCCCACATTCTGCTTGACTCATGACCAAAAGAATTTCAGTACCATAAAAAAGTGTACTAGTTTTTCTCCTCCTGTTACCAGGAAAAGTGTCTTTAAAAATCTGGTCACATCATTTCTGACTAAACCATAATGGGTGCATCTACATGAGGTGCCTTAATGCGCAGTAGCCTAGTTTACTGCACAGTAAGTGCACACATTTACACATGTGCATGCTTACTGAGCAATGAAAACCCTTAATTGTGTGTAATCTTGCTAACTGCAGGTAGCACATTTACACAGGATTAGTTACTGCACAGTAACAAATGTGTAGAAGTGACCTGGGAGCAAGTTTGCTCTCAAGTCTGCCCTGCCACTAGGGGGCTGGCCTCCAGCTAGCCCTAGGGCTCCAGGCTGGCAGCCTCTCCTGGCCCAGAGCTGGGCTGCCTCTATGGCAGCCCCTGCTTCAGGCTTTAAAAGCCTGCAGACATTTTGAGCTACAGCATTTGAGCCCTGGGGAATACCACCAGGGAGCCTTAGGGCACTCCAGGCCCCTGTGTCCCCCCTGGGCAGGCCACAGCCTAGCTGTGCCAGCCTGTCTGCACCCCCATGCAGCTGCCAGGACTATGCCATCCAGGCCCACAGGGTGCTGCAGGCTGCTGTAGCCTCTGGGCAGGCCAGTCAGTCAGTCCCCCAGGCCCAGCTTCAGGCAGCTTCTGGCCAGTAGGGCCAGCTTCATCTGCCCACAGCGCACATCCAGCAGCCTGTCTGGAGCCTGCAGGTGCTGTGGGGCATTGCCTCTCCCACATGGCTGCCAGTCCCATGCCATTCCCCTGCACTGGGCGTTGAGGCCTGGCAGCACTGGGACAGCCACCCAGACAGCCAGTGCAGAATCCCAGATGGCATCGTTCCCACCCAGACCTTTGCCCATACCTGTGCTTACCACCCAAGGTCCCATCTGGTCCAAAGAGGAGACTAGCAACTTCATGGTGCAATGAGGTGAGGTGGAGGTGCATTGCCAGTTCAAATGGGGCGGGCACTCCAATGGCCACATCTATGGCGTACTATCAAGCCAGATGCCAGAGCACAGACACAACCAGTCAGCACAGCAGTGCCACATAAAGGTAAAGGGCTTGCAGGCATAGTGGATCACCGTGACTGACCACTATTGCCAGTCCAGTGGTGCCCGTAAGTCCACGCCTTTTATGAGGCAACTGCATACCATCCTTGTGCCCTGGGACACAGGCTGCAGCCATGCTGTCTACAGCAGCATGGGTGGCCTGCCTGAGTCCCTGCCCCAGCCTTGCACCACCAGTGACACATTACCAGAGGAGGGCCCCTTGGATGTTCAGCAGCCCATCCTGCTGAGCTCCCTGGCTGTAGTCTCCAGGTGGTCAGTGTGGTAGGCCAGCAGTGCTAGCACAGTGGGAGCATGGGGCACTGGTCATCACTACTAGGGGCAGAGGCTGGAGCAGCCATAGTGCAAGGAGGCAGAGGCAGTGAAGAGAGTGCTGCCATGTGCTGTTCTTGTGCTGGGCACACTGCTCCTGGCCAGGGAAGTGACTAGCCAAAAAGCAGGGAGCAGGGCTGTATGTTGAAAAGGGCTGCCAGCTGCTGGCAGCTGCAGCTGGAGCCTGGAGCCCCCCTAGTGGTGGCAGGGGCCCATTGCAGGGCTGCAGGAAGTTGGGTGCTAAGAGCAGCAAATTTACTGCCTAGTCCTTGCATGAGTAGAAGCCTGTCTTGGAGCACTTAATCGGCAAAGGTTTATACCTGAGTAAACTGAGCCAAGATCAAATGCACATGTAGACTTGCCCATTGTGTATTTTATAACTACCTATGACACAACTATTTTAAACCATTAAAGAGTAAAGATGGTCAGGAATTTTTATAGCAAATGCTGATTTGTCAAAAACAAATGGTTTCTCCCCTTCCCCCCGCTCCTCCCTCTCCCCCTCCCCCTTTTAGTTTTAATTAACTTATCTTGAAAGACAGGCAGGGTTCCTATGGGAGTTTTAGGGAGCCCAAGCTTCCAGAGCCCACAGCTTTGGGGAAGCTGTAACATGCAGACTGCCTTGAGACTAGGGAACCCAGTGCTTCTGTAGCTTTAGGATAGCTCTGCCATACCAGTTGCCTTAGAGTTAGGGGCCCAAAGAACTGACAGGTTCCCCACCATGAACCCAGCTTAAATTGGCATGACTTCTACGCTTTTTTCTATGCTGTGGGGAGCCTGGTAGCTCTGAAAGCCCAGTCCATGA